CTTTTTTTCAGACTTCATCATTACAGAAAATGGTTTGGCCAGTGCTAAGACATCCATAGGTTTCCTACCATCTAGAAAAGCACAGTATGGTTACCAGTTTGCATCACAGACCATGTAATGTCACCATTCTGGCTTTAAGCCCATATTTTCTTTCAGCAAGAATGTCCTTTTCAGAAAGGTATTTTCACTTAATGAGTACAAGGGATGGAAATTTGTTTCTGGGCTTAATCACGACTTTTTAAACATATATCTTATTTCTTATCTGATTGACCTACCCGTTTTGAAATGTATGAGGGCATTCTTATTAGATGTTATTTATTGACAAAATACACTGTTTTCCAAAATTTTCAGAATGTAGAGTCTCTTTGATGAATGTTGCAATATGAAAAAAGTGGATATACAAAGAGTTAGAGCTCAACAATAAAAAAAAAAACCTAGAACTAGAAAGGCAGCATTTTTGCTGTTTCTTGCTATTTCCTTATTGCTGCCTGTTATGCAATCATTATTTAAATGATCCCACATAAGTTTCATGCATTATGCTGTTAGCCTAATACATGGATGGGTGTTTAAGGCATCATGTCATTTGGGAGTTCTGCATCTAGCATGGCGTTTAGACCTCCTTTTAAACCTTAAAGGGAGAACTTTAGACCTTAAAATTACTTCTCTTTCTTTTGCACTGGCCACTACTGTTAGTGCTGCTTTTGTAGCTCTCAGTGATTTTCATAGTGTTGGTCTATTGTTGATGCTAATGCAAGTTTAATTTCTTATAAAGTCATATTTCTTGAATTGTTAGATTCATATTCTGTGGATAACAGAAATATGCCATATGACACATCTGTCTAGAAAGGTTTTATTAAAGAAAAAAGGAAAACTTTATCTGCCCTACTACATCTGATAAATTAGTATAGTACATTGATTATTGTGTAATTTTGTACATAATGGAAAAGGTAGCATATATTCTGAACATTTAGGATTCTAGCCAGTTCTAACTTCTCCCTCAGTTGAACATCATTTAGGGGTTGAAACATGCCCTTGGTAGTTTTCTGAGGATATTAATAAAGATGAGGGCTGTCAAGTAGTTAGTGGCACCAGATGTAACTCTATAAATCTTAACATTATAATCATATTTTAAAAGGAATGTGACTAGCACATAAAATCTTAGTAAACAGCTGAAGTCTTAGAAAAATTAAGTGGCTATCTCCTTTAAGAAAAAACAACTGTTAGTCTGTCCTAATTTTCTTTGAGAGTAGATTGCAGGCTGAAAAGAAGATCTGTAGCTATTTTCTTTAGTTTATTCCACGCCTCTTTCGAGTAGTGTCCTACATATTTGCATATAGTAGACTACCCCCAGTTTTATTGCTGAGTGTGATGCTATATGGTATGGAAGGGTCCCTCTGGTCAGTCGGGGTCACCTGTCCCACCTTTTTCTTCTCATACTTCCTTGGGGGCAGGGACAAGCCAGGACAGGGCAGGGGGCTGCAGCATGAGGAACAGAGAAGGCCTCGGTGCCATACAAGCACTGCTCAGCAACTGCTGAAACACTGGTGTGTTATCAACACTTAGTCACAACTAGAAGAACAGGCAGCTGTGAAGAAAACTGCCTCCATCCCAGCCAGACCCAGTACACCTGGGATTACAGGAGTCAGACGGGTTTAGATTAATGGAATTGAAATACAACATTTTGATTCCATTCATATGTGTGTTTTTTCTCTCCTGCATGGCTTGATTGTTTATGTACATCATGTTGTTAACCTTCACGTGGTTTATCAGTAGTAAGCTTTGGCTACGAAGTGGTACCCTTTATTTAAGCAGTCTGATCAATGAGTTCTCTCAATTGCTTTTACACTGATCGATCTCACATCTGAATTATCAGCCCTTGAAGAGATGAGAGTTACAGCTCTTTGAAGTGTGACTTCTGACACCAGAGAATAACACATTGACACAACTGAAACTGATTGTATTTGTATCACTATTTTGAGACACATAGTATATCTTCAGTTTTTAAATTCTAGAGTTTAAAGGTCTTGAGATTACAGTGCTTTGATCTGTAAATTACTGTGTAGTTCTTCCTCTCAAGACCTCCAGGAAAAGCACTCTGTAAATAGTGATGCCCTAAAAGAAAGTAGATCCATATTTTTTTAAGAGACAGGCTAAGTACCTTTTATGTCAAGTTTTTGTTACCTGTGGTAACCAGACATGTTCCAAGAAAGCAATGTGATCATATGGTGTTGTTACCTATGGTTGTTACAGTTTTGCTAATGTGCTTTTGCTCCTGTGTCAGACTTTTTTCTGCTTCTCATGATTAATGTGTAAAGGTTTTCCCAAGCCACTAGTCAGGCAGATAAAATTTTCCATCACACAACTGAGCTACATTCAACATATGCTCAGATGTGCATGATAAATAAAGCTGGAAAGAACACAGTTGGATTTTCTGGAGTAGTTTCATGCAACTGCATGCTTAGAAATAAATTCACAGCTAATTGGTGCTAAGTTACATTATACTTCATGCACAAAATCAAATTTCTCCATTAGACAATATAGGGTTACTTCACAGTGTGCATTAATTGTTCTCACAGTCTTTGATATAGTCATATATCAAGGAAAGGATATATAAAGGAAAGGATATATAAAGGAAAACCAGAGCATAAATGTGTTAAGCTTAAGGATTTAAACATAACAAAAATCAAGAATTACCTAATTAAGATTGAATATTTACTCAGTCTTGACTGAAGTAGTAACCTCTGAAATAGCATTAAATTACATAACAGAATATTCTTTCCCAGGTATCATAAGTAATACAGGGTAACATATCATATATATTATTTAATATAACATACAGTTGACAGGCTAAAGGACCTAAAATTCACACAATGAAAGGGTTATGTTTAGAGTAACTCTAATCTGTACACCATACACATGTAGGGCTAAATTTTTAAAGGGGTCTCATTTTTCCCTCTGATTTCATATCCTCAGTCTATTTCATGCACGTATGATAGGATTAAGATACCAATTTTTTTACTTCATTCCCTAATTGATCTATCTTAATCCTTTCATATCTGTCCTTAAAATAAGAGGCCATCTTTAAAAATTTCACCTAAAGTGCTCAATTTTGCCTTCAGATACCTCCATGCAACTTCCATTGAAGTAATTGGAGCTGTGCCTGCATATCTGATGGTGGAACTGGACTCATTGCAATTAAGGTACACATTTACTGGCATAATTAGTCATCTGGAATAATTGCTGGGCCCAGTGTGACATTCTGCATGTGCAGAATTTGCTAGATTGGACTCTGCATATGGGAGACTGAAGATAATGCTAACTTTATTTCATGCCTTAGATTTGTAATTGTAGCAGAATTTTAATGTAGTTTGTTGTACTTAATTTTCTTATTTTTAAATAAGAAATGTGGAAGAAATTCAGAATGATACCTTTGTATATATTTTCATACCCAACCAGCACACAGACATTTTGTCATTTCCACGAGCATGTTACAAATGGTATGTGCAGGCACAATTGTGATTTGTGCAGTAACTTACAGTTTAAAATATCCAACCCTGAGTGTAGTGCTTTTTTTTTTGCCTTATATCTTTGTGCTGGCAAAGCACAGACACAAAAAAATAAATCTGTAAATGATGGCACAGTATATAAGTAACAGCATAAAAGCCACACATGAGAACTTTAGTACTTCCTAATTGAAAATACATAGAGTACTTATTTTCCAGTAATTTAAAATTATCTGTGTTTTGTGATTGCAAGTTGATTACAGGCAGCTTTAATATAGGTGTCTCTCTCCTGTCACTGGTCTGGGGAGGGGCTCTTTGACTTACAAAATAGTTGTTTTGTAGAGAGTAATATAAATCCATGGTTGGCACAAAAGCAGAACATTTTGTGGAGGTTGTCTCAAATAAAATTAAATTTGTGACACATAAAAAATTCCAACTTAAAAGAAGTTTTTCTGAGATATTATAACCTGTTAAACCACAATGAACGTAGTGAATTCCTGTGATTTAGAATAGTTGCTGATAAATATTTGGGTCTAGTTCTAGAACTGCTAAAAAGTGACAGTTTTCATGGTATTGATGTTACCTGTATTGCTTTGAATTTAAAATGCTATGAAGCTTAAGAATAGCAGAATATATAGATCCCTCTGAAATTTATTTGCTACCACATAGGTTAAGTTACTTGGAGGAAGCCTTGGCCCAGGGGCATTTACAGCACTCTCTCTGTTAGTGCAAGGTCAAATGCCTGTGGCAGGCACAGCCAGTATGAATTGCCATAACTTGTTCATGTAGAAGAAGATGCTCTTTATGCACCACAACTCCTTGAAGGTGCAAGATACCTGTTTTTAAAGAAACACTGCCATATGGAAGTTGAAAACACAAAACCAAATAATTATTTGAAGTAAAGGTGATCATTACAGAACACAATAGTGATTTTAAAGGAGGTCGTTAAATAAAAAACAAACTACTAGAAAATTATTGTGGTTTTGATATGACTGGTTGAATGGAGAAATTATTCCTCTCAAATAATCTTAGCCATGTTTCAAGATAGTAGGAGGAGTTAATTACTCTAAAAATAAATTTTAATACCTGTTTCATGCATTAATTATTAGAATGCTACTGTAATATTTTCTATGTTTAAACAAGCACATGCTTAGATGATCATGGATTTACATCCCCTGCATCCAGAATATTTAACAGGTGTATCATTCAGCCTGCCATCTAAATTTTTTCAGTCTTTTCATATCTGTTGCACCAGCTTGATTATGTGTAGAAATTGGGATGTCTGCCCATTTTCAGGTAAAGACTCTCACAATGAAAGTGATTGATTTCTTGACATTAGTGTTCCTTTGTTCTGTGCTTACACCCTGCTTGTTCTAAATGTTTGTACATTTCTTCGTTTTGTTGAAATAGAAATGAGCTAAAGTTGTTGCTAAACCATTTGCTTTTTCCAAAACCTTTTCTCTATTTTTAATTGATTTTCATTGTGTGTTTTTGCAGCAAGCTTAGTAGTGGAGGAGCGAACGAGACAGATGAAAATGAAAGTGCACCGTTATAATCAGACATCAGGGTCTGGTTCTAGCCAAGAACATGAGCGTGAGCAATATACCAAGGTAAAGTCAGTAGTCTTGGAATGATACTTTGGCTTTAAAATTGAAGGCATAGACTTGTTTATTTAACATATTATGTAACCTTCAAGAACACTGTATTTTAAATCCTGACAGAAATGTCTTCAAGTAATAGCATTTTAGCATCATTTGTACCCCCATCTGATCTGTATTAGAGTTAGTCTTTGACATCTACTAAAATGAATCTGGAAAAACCAATATGCTTAAAATCTTCAGGAAAGCTTTTCAGAATTAAAAAGTTCAGGAAAGAAAGATCTTTCAACAGCTGTTAAAAAGAGACTTATCACATCTAGCTTATGAAGTCGTTAGATTTCCAATCCCTGGAGTTTGGAAAAGTAGGGTCATGAAAGAGGAGATTGGCCCTTGTTGATGTCTGATGTGGAGAAAGCTAAGCAGAACAAGGTCCAATCTCATGCAGATGTTCTCATATTTCTATAATGTTTTTGCATACTAATAATGTCAGAGATAAATTATTTCCTTTCTTGAAGTGCCTACTGATTACTTTGATTTCCTTTTCTAATAAAAGCATAGAGTTTCTGTGATAATGTAATATATTAAAATTATGTTAACAAAGTTGTAAAGAGGGATTTTGTTTTCTTGATAAGGCTAGAATGGTAGGCCATAACTTTGTAATTTAAACTGTATAGGGTTCTAAGCAAACTGGTGAAAATGTCTTGCACATCTGCACTGCTGCTTACGAATCAAGCTGTGAGGAGCTGGATGCTCCTAAAGATACAGGTTAAAATAATCTATAAGTGAGGTACTCATCTAAAGCAAAATCACAAATTTACTTAGGAATGGTTAAATAGGAAATCTGGAGGCTAAATTTTAATAAACAACAGATTTGAAAGATTGGTTCAAGATATTGTTGCAGTTAAATATGCAGACAACTTTAATAAGAACTTAAATGAATAGTTCTCAAAAGGAAGAGAAACAAGAGAAACAAAGCCTTAGGTTTTGAATGTCCAAATTGTGGGATATCAGTGCTATTAAAAAACTCAGCAGCTGGGGTGGAAATTTCCAATGAGATCCTCTATCAGAAGAAGGAATTTGTTTAATTAATACAACTCAGTTGCTGCTGGGTTTGCTGCTACATTCAAAAGAGGTTCTCTCAGGGCAAGAGAATGAGATGCAGTGTCTCTGTGGTCCTTCTCAACCATTTAACAAGGTAGAAAAAATAGTCAGAATAGGGTTGATAAAATTTTCATTGGAGAGAGGCAATATGCCGTGGGAGGACTTCTGCCATGATGACCAGAGACCTTTGTTCAGAGACAAAGGCCAGGTTTCTGAGTTAGATTATATAGTTATATATATTAACTATATATATATATATAGTTACGGAGTGATTGAAATTTTTGTATTTATCATTCTGAAACATATTTTTTTTTATCCTAATTCTCTAATATTTATGATAAGCATCGTTTTGGTCCTCCAGTATATTTTTCTTGTTTGATCAGTGTAGAACCAATGTATGGTGAAATAGTTGTTAGAAAACATCAACCTGCAATGTTACAAATTTCTCTTATCCTTAGAATCTTGAGGTTTTTAGGGTCTTCCTTTGGTTTTAAAAGCATGTGGAAATCAAAAGAGAAATCATGATGAGTACTGAATCAAAAGAACACTGAAATTATTCTATTCAGAATTTTGCTTCATTTCACTTATGGTGACAGTCATCACTTTAAAAATGCTGCCAAAGCAAACCTTATGCTACTGTCCTCTCTATCCTGAGAAAATGGTGAAAGAGTCAATAAAAGAACTAAGAAGATTTGGACATGTGAAAATGTAGTGTGTTATATCAGCTGTTGTGGTAAAGCTGATGACTGAGACCTCTCAGAACTGAAGACTGTACCCAATTTCTGCTGCCAAAATTTGTGAAAAGTCTTTGAAAGCTGCAGAAACAAGATTAACTTTAAATTTAAAAAATAAAAAATATTAAGTGGTATAATAGGCATTCTGGAATAGTGAAAAGTAAGTATTAACTGACTGTTCAAGAAACAGCCATTGCAAGTAGAGTTTTTCCCTCTTTAACCAAAATGCTTATTTCTTTCCTAAATAGCAGTGTTTTCCCATTGCTCCAAAAAAGAAATATATTTATTAGAGAAATTATACTATTCTAGAACATTGAGAAAATAGTTCATTCTGCATTTCAGAGCAATCAACTCACATGGGTTTGATTCTTCCAATATTTTTGCATTTGCAAATCTGCTTGTTTTATTATATACAAAATTTTCTAAACCATTCAAAAATTTTCCTTCAGTATAGGACTGGATTATAATTGCAATGGTTAATTATGCATGTACAAAATAATTCCTGAAAGTTAAATAAATTTTCTCTTATATTGAAACAAGCCTTTTTTAAACAGAGATATTGTAACTGGTCCTTTGCAATTTCCTGTCAATTTCTGATGCATTACAGTTTTGGAATTTTACCCACTCAATTTCTTAAATTTCTAATTACAGTAAGCAAGCAATGATTTTCCAAATATGCACTATGCAAGTTTCCATTTTTAACATCTATTAATGGATTTTGAATAGGCAAATCCATTTGTCTGCCCTGCAACATTTGTATACCTTCATGGCTCTTCCACTCTGTTTGGGGACTTTCACAGAGCTCACATCCTTATTTCCTCCCAGTGCAGTGAAAAGACTCCATAATTTATGTGAAACAGTTAACTTCTAATAAGCTAAACATAATAAAAATTAAAAAAAACCAAACCCACTAGACCTCTGAGGATTTCTCAAAAGCATTTAAAGAAGAGCTTTAAACATGTCTGCCTTCTTTCTTATATATTGGTGAGGCTGTAGTGGCTAGTGTGCACATACTTGTGCTGTTTCAGTGCTTGAAAGAATCAAAACATTTGATGGCATAATTCTGGATTTGCACAGAGGTGAATTACAGTGTAACTCAATTATCCTTTTAATTCAAAATACAGTAAGTGTTTTTATTCTATGTGCCCCACATAGAACATAAACACCATGCTTGCAGCTGCTCTGGCTTAACATTTTTTTGGAAGTTCTGTTTATTCAAGAGAGTTACTGATTAGAGAACTGTAGTCTGTACTTAAAAAGGATATCACTCTATATTTAGATGCAGTACTGACTTAAGACTGTATGTGATTGAAAAGCATTTAGCATAGAAGTGTAATCATGGCATTTGTTCAGTGGCACTGTGGATTTAACTCAATAGTTGCTGTCTTAACTCTTATGTGTTAACAGCTGATGTCTAAAGGAGGGGCTGGGTAGGATACTTGGGCTGACAGGAGGCTGATTATGTTAAGTTTTACATCATGCTGGATAAGGCATCAAGGGTGTATATAGAAAATACTTTTGAACATAGATGTGACATCTTCTTTTGGTCCCCTTCACCCACCTTGAAGAAAAAAATCTTTGATATGTATCGTGTTAAGATGACAGTCACTCACTCCAGTGCTGGAGTGAGTTCACAGAATTTAGCGAGTTCCATTCATTTGACCTGTGAGCTTCACTGCAGTTTCCTCATAATTTGACTTGCTCATTTTTACTGTTCCCTGTTTGGGAGCTGAGCTGTGTTCATAGGAGTTGGATACAATTGTAGGAAGGGTTTTTAGAATCACTGGTGCTTAGTTGCCTCTGGACCACGGCATGAGCTGCTCCTAAGACAAAAGCTGGTGGGAGTCAGTGATGAGTCCTGAACACCCTAAGGTGCCAATGCTGGGCTGTGAATGCCAGCAGCATTCTGAGCAACTCCATGTGAGCAATCATAAAACTGAAGGTGCTTTGTGCAGGATTCAGTGTTTTCTGACAAAATTCCTCATCAGACTGCCTCAAAAGATAGCTGCAATCTCAAGACTTGTGTAGTCCCTGGATGAATCTGTGCATCTGGTCTGTATTTCCCTTTCCTCATGTTAATGACCTCATTTTAAACCCATTTTATTTTCTCATTTCATTTCCTCATTTTAAGCACATAATGAGGTATATATCTGTCAAGGTTAGTCACCTGGGGCTTTTTTTGCAGTCAAAGGACAGCGCACTCATTTAATTTTCAAAGCTCTGAACCCTTGTATTCTTCATGGTTTTGGAAGTTAAATCTAGGAATATGAATACTTCCATATTAGAAATACTTTCTAATATGAAAGATAATCCAATTATAATGAACTGTTAAATGACTTCTAAGATGTGCCTTATAATCAGTAAAATTGCTAGCATTGTTAGTCATGAAGGAGCTCTAAAATAATTTGTGAAGTACACTCTTTTGGTTTGTGTCTATGCTCTTTCCATTGATGTTAACACATCTGCAGTTCATCATACCCCTTTCTTCTCCTTTTGCTGGTGAGCAAGAAGCAACAGCTCCACAGGTGGTAAAGTGAATGGAAGAACTGCATTCCAGCTGTCTATAGATGTCTGCTTTTGTAATGCAGGCAAGGAAAGCACAGTTATTTTTGGCATTTGAAACTAGCTGTTATTAATGTTTTAAAAAACAGACCTACTCTTTAGTAATTGCTATTGAAGTTGCTGCCAACTTCAGTGACTCTTCTAATGTGATGAACAGTGCACCTTGGAAAAGAAATGTTACATAAGCTTTAAGATATAGAGTTCAAAGAGAACTGGTTGCAATGAAAATATACTTCATTTTGAAGCTTCAAAATGATGAAATGTTTAAATATAACATCTCAGGGAAACTTATTGCAAATATATGTGCAGTTTCAAAGAACAGCAGTTTTTTGCTTTGCAGTAGAACTTTATCATATTATTTTTGAGCCCAGTTGGAAACCTGCAGGCATTACTTCATTGCAGCTACCATATAAGAGGATCTTAGCCCATGTTATTTTTCTTCCGAATTATACGTTCAGGTGTATTGCAGCAGTAAAATATTCTCATTTTAATGAGCACTGCTTTGTGGAATAGTACTATTTATTTCTCTCTTTATTTGAAGGGAAAAAAGGGTAACTTCAAAATTGCCTTCATTTTGTTCATCTGTTAGCTGAGATGACTGATTATCAGATTGTATCAGAGGCAGGTAGGAAATCAGTAGGACAACTTGTATGCCTCCTGTAGAAGTCAGTGAATTAATTAGAAGCAGCAGGTATAAGAAGAAAAAGCTAAATACAGAAGTAGTGATAGTGAAATGTAAACTCTGTAGCACTCAGCATCAATTTTCAGCATCACTACTTTTTATGCTATTCTCTATTTCTGTGAAGGGAAAGGTTTTCAGTTTCTTGGGAATCACAGCCTTGGCATACAGTATAAAGGGATAGGAAAAGCTCAGCCTTGCCATGAAAATCTCATTCAGGAAGAGATGCTCCACATTTTTTTGCAGTAGCTGTGTGATTGCAATACAAGGCAAGTAGAAGAAACGGATTTAGTTTTTTCTTTATGTCCTGTCTCACTGTAAAATTCTCTGTTTACCAAAATATGAAAAACTGTCTTTTAAGCCAGTCTGGTATCTACAAAACAATTCCATTTTTCAGACTGCTTGACTATAGAGAGCAAAACAGAGTGAGGGTATCTACATAGCCCACACTTACAGGATGATACCCTGAAGGGCTGAACACACCTGCACCAGTAAATGGTTTCATATTGATACTGAACAGTAAATTGATGAGGCTGAGTCTGTAAAAAGCCACTGATACACAAACCAGGACTTCTAACTTCTCTCCCAGTATTCTAACCAGTAAGCTGTACAACCATGCTTGATGCTTTTCCTCTCTCCCCTCTCCCCATCTTCCCCAGCCCACCTAGCTACCCCATGAGAGGTGGAACAAATTCAGTGCAAGTGAAACGGGGCGTCTTTTTCATGACATACCCAGTCCACCTGTGGAATCATAAGTTGAGTGCTCACAGCTAGGTTCAGGTGTGGCTTGGAACAAAGGCCAGCAGCCAAAACCTCCCTCAATAAGTAGAAGAAGTGCTTCCAGCAGTACAGCTTCCAGAAGTCACTGCATCTGGCTTTAGTGGTTCCCTGGTGGGGGAGTCTGCCTTCTCCAGCAGCCTGTCATGGTTGCTCAGGGACCACCTAAGTCTTCTATCACTGCAGGTTCACTGTGTACACTCTCAAACCAAAGGCCACAAAGAGAATATGGACTATTTGGTGAGGAAGAGAAGTAATTGGACATTATAGTGGCAGAGGGAAGAAGTCAGATCGTCTTCAGCTAATACAAAAAAAAGCATGGAAGTATTTCTGAAACAGTCTGTTACTTAAATCTAAGAAACCCCATGCATTTGAGAGATTGCTTGGTTATATTTTAAACAAAGAATTTTGGAAACCTTCAAAGGACTAATTTGTGGATATAATCTCAGTATGTGGGATGGGTGAAATCCTTATTTCACTGAAATCAACAGGAATTTAATATCTAATGGGATGATTTTGCAGATTGCAAATCTGTTTAGCTTAATGGAAGGCCAGATCATTCCACGTGTTCAGATGGTTTTCATATTTTTATATGTCTCATTTAGAGTAGCTGGAAGGATTCTTTAGGAATTCTTTAGGAATTTCGCATAAAACATCAAGTCTGATTCAGGACTTGGGGCAGTTTAACTTATGATGGAGAGAATTAACTATTTGGTTTTCTAGCCTCTGTATGTTTATACCTAGCCTAAGTAAAAAGTTTTCAAACTTGTATTCTTTCTTTGAATATTTTTTTAGACTTAGAAGGAAAACATGATATCTTATTATGAAAGATGTCTGATAAGAATTAGTATACTTTGTGTTTCAATTTTGAAGTTACCATTTTATCTTGCAGTCTGAAGGACAGAATCAGCAAAATTGTTTAACAGACTCTGCAAGCCATTAACAAAAGGTGATTTGAATAAACATATCAGCATAGTCTCACCCAACTGGGCATTTATACTCAGTAAAGTCACAAGTCACTTGTAAAGAGAACCTACCGATAAATTCCTGCTGTAGTTGAAAACATTTTTGAACATCGTGGTACTTGAGTCCTTTCTGTAACCCATTTTCTTAAAGTCACAGCCTTGTCTCCTGCAGATGTTTTTACTCAGCCACTGCAAAGCCTTCACTGGGTACTGCTTAGAGTTTCTGCTAAGCAGTGTTCCTATGCACACCTGAAAAACACAGTGAGACATTAAATTTATATAACCTCCATTTGTCCTTTAGATGTCTGCATTTATAATTGGTGCTTAGAATTGCTTTATTTCTTCCCCTTCTCTACTCCTATTGACTTCCTCATTTTATCTTCAGTGCTTTACCAAGAGGTTTCTGAATGTGCACAAGCATAGCTGCTGAAAGGCACTGGAGCAAGAGAAGATAAACCTGGCTTAAGGAAAGGAGACCTGATACATTCATCTGTACAAAGTCAAGCTTATGTTTGCCATGTTTTTGAAATTAAGTCATGGCATCTGCTGAGTGATTCAGCCAGCAATCCAGTGCCTAGTTGGAGTTTGTATATTCACAGATTTGTGTATTACTCACAAATAAATTTTTATTACTTGTAATTTTACAGAGCACAGATCTAAAAAATGAACTCCCTAGAGTGTCATGTCAAAAACTGCCTAGTGCTCTATGTGTTAATAGTTTTCCCATAATATACCCTGGGAAGTATGTCACTGGTTTAGTTGCTTTCCAGCCAAGAGTACCTTCCTCTAATGACAGTGAGTTTTAGTTTTGTGAGCCTGAAAACTATTTGGTCCTCATATATGTGTGAGTGAAGATTTAGGTAAGTGTGACGTTGCTAGGGTTGAAGCTTCCTTTTGTACCTGTCTGACTGATGGTGTCGCAGTTGATTTGAAAAGTGAAGTATCTTCTATGTCTGTCCACATATTCCTCCTTCTAGCTCATAGGAATGTGCAGATGTGAAAGCAACTAGATCAGGGAATTGCCTGGAAAAAAAGACTGTATTTACTGAGTTAGCATTCTGCCTAACTAGTCCTCTAGTATCACATTACAAAGAGAAATTTTGACATAGAAAATGTAATTTTGGGTTTTTTTTAATAGAGCTTAGGAACTGATATCAGTCCCTAATACCTTCATGTAGCATTACATTTAATGGCTCATATGCAGTTCTATGTGCAGGTATTTCACAGCATATATTTTTAATATTTTAAAAATTTAAAAAATAGTCTGTAGCCAAATAGATGGTATGCATGTACTTGAGATGTCTGTCTGCTGCATAAATATTTCATATAAATATTTCATTATTGTAGTTCTAATGTGCTGAAGAACCAACAGCCTATTTAATTTCCAGTGTGTTATTTTATTCCAAGTATTTTCTTTAGTCCATAAATAACATTTCATTTCTGCACTAGACATAAAGCCATTATTTAATGTAGGCATATCTTTGAATCTCATACAATTTTGTTATATCTAAAAGCAGTTAAAGAGAATTGTCATACTTAGGTAATGTGTTGCATCAATGAATGCCTTCTGTTTTGATGAGACTGCTCACCCTTTCTTTTCTTGATCTCTAGTATAATATACAAACAGATCAGTACAGAAGTTGTGATAACGTCTCTGCCAAATCATCAGACAGTGATGTCAGTGACGTGTCAGCCATTTCCCGAACCAGCAGTGCCTCTCGCCTCAGCAGCACAAGTTTTATGTCAGAGCAATCCGAGCGCCCTCGGGGCAGGATCAGGTGAGTTCTCCATGCAGCTTCCATTGCAACCCACTCCCTCTTTCACTGAGTGCCAAAACACAACCAGAAATTCTTGAAACTGGATAACCACAACATGAGAATTTGTGAAAAATGTTATGCACATATAAACTGTCTTCCATGACTGGCCTAAGATGACAATATTTTTGCAGTTGTGCATCCTGAACAGAAAGCAAACTTCCCATGAGAAGATGAGAGATTAATGTATTTATCCCACTTGAATCTGAACACAGGCTGTCCTCTCATTGTTGGCTAAGAATCAGAGTAATCAGTATGTCAGTAAGGTATTACAGCAGAAATATTACTAGATTTTTTAGTTAAGCAGATTTTCATAAAAGCTTGGGTTTTTTTCCTCAATATATTTTTCCCTACCTACATGCCTTTATTTTGCTGTTTTCATGTGTATGACAAATTACTAGATTTTAAACTATTATTCATGTAATAATTTTGATATTTCTTGTTCAAAAGTAGTTTAATTCATTTCCATTATCAATAGTGAAATACATCTTTCATCCTTGATACTACTCTATTCTGGGGTTAGGGCTTTTTTCGATGTACACATTGGTTTTTGTTTTCATTTAACTTGATGACAAAACTCTCAGCAACTGCAACGGCTCTAGGATTAGCTTGGTAGTCTTTGATTACATTTGCCAGTTCCTGAACTGTCAAAAAATTGACTTTAGGTATTGTAAAACACAAGAATTATGAACTGTAAAAAAAAAAATTATCCCTACCAGGAAATCTGTCTAATATAAGTCTGGAAGGCATCATTTGCCACTCAAAACACTTCTAGACAGATCCAGTGTCTGAGAAGATCAGCTGCAGGATTTTGGTATGTTTATGCAAAACGAGGGGTTGTTAGGAAAACTCAGAAACTGGCCTCTATGTTTGAGCTAGATACACCTCATTTTCTTTTCAAGGAATGCGGTAACAATCATGTTTAAAGTCATATTTCAGATTGGTGGAGCTATAACCTGACAGCTGCAGTAATCCACGATCCAGCAGAACACTGCAGTGGAAACATAAATATATTTAAGTAATTTCAATTCATGTCTTTAAATGCTGCATTTCATCATGGCCTAGCTTTTCAGTATTTGACTCTTACTTTTTGTCATACCAAAAAAACCTTATTTCATAGACACAGAATTTTTCTCAACTAGACCCTCTCACAGTGTCAGGTTCAACAAAAATAGGATTTTTTCCCACGGATATGTGTAACAGATTTTATCAGAAATTTTCCTTGAGTTCCGAATATCTGATCATAAATATCAGGACTGGGAGAACCAGTAACCTTGTGTGAGCCTGGCAAGGGTGAAACCTGGGCTCAAATCCTCAACTTCTTCCATTCTAAGGAGTAGCAGAGCACTTTGGGTGCAGGATTGGGTGACCTAATACAAAAGCCAAGTGTCTGCAGTGGGAATTCCAGTTCAGCTTCACTCTAGACCAGTAAAGTGAGATGTAATTTGAGTTCAGATGCCTTTCCTTCCTGATACTGTCCACAGGATCAATACCTCAGAAATTAGACACTTTTTGGTTGCTTGCTTTAATCTTCTCTAAATTCAGGTAGTACTTCCATAGTGAACAAAATATGTAGTAGTAACATACAATGCAGTTCCTTCAGTAAAAATATGAGGAAGAAATTGAAAGATTGGGGAAAGGGTTGATTGCTTTAGGAACAATTTTTTTCATCTTGAAATTCATGCTGTGTAACTCCAGCCTTAAAAGCTATGTATCTGCAGTGGAATTCACCTAAAAAGTAGGTTTTTATTAAATTATTTTTTTAGCTTCCCTAAGCCTCCATTAAAAGGAAGAAAACACCTATTATCTTGGATTGTTCACCGCATCTTTAGACAGGTATCAAAGGCAGGGGAATCATCCTTTTCTAGTATTAATTGTTAAAGAAACCCTAGATGACTTGTTTAGATTGGTTGCTTTAATTTTTGGCATTTAAGATTAAAATGATTCTTTCTCTCAATTACTAAAGTTTCTTTGAGGTCAAGGAATCAGAAGTTTTAAGTTCAAGTTAGATTAGTAATTGAAATGCAAATTTTATTTTTGCCTCCAAAGAACCCAATTAACTTATATCAAATAGGATGGGATAGGATAGGGTGGGATGGCTGAGCAGGAAGGGTAGCACTTTTTGTCTACCTGTTTTTGTCATTCTGAAATCACCTATCCAGCATCATCTTCATTTGGAAGTGTGTCAGGCCAGTGGCCATGGCAACTGTGTGAGCATAATGTTATATTTAAGGACAAAGTTTGTTGAACTGCCTTTTCTATGCTCTTACTTTTGCTCTCCAGATATGTTCTAGAGATGAATCTATTAAGCATATAGAAAGTCAAAGGAGGTAGCTCAGTTCTAGCTATTTCACTAAATTAAGTCATTCAACAAGTATCCTTACCTTGAAGAGTAGTCTGGGGTTCAGATTAGTAACCTGAAGTGATTGATGCAATTCTAAATATAAGTATATAAAATAGCTTCTTGCTTTCTAATTTGTTTAGCATCTTCAGGTATGTGTTATAAGAAATGGCTTTGCATAGATAAGCTACTCTGTATATGAAAATATTCAAAGCATCTTTCTTGTTACCATTCTGGGAAGTCTGGTTAACTGCTCTGCTCTCTAGTTGGAAATGCAGGAAAAAATACCAGGAATTTTTGGTGTGTGAACAAAAAGTTCTGGGACTTCTGGTTTTAATCAGAATCAGATTTGTGAATATGGAGTTGGTGTTTATTTAATGAATGAAGTCAAATTATCAGTCCTTCTTTATGGAGATTTGATTTTATTGATCATGCTCTTTATGGATTTGTGATACAGTCACACAGTACTCTGTGCCTGCATGTGTTGGAGATGTCACTTGTATGGCTCTGAAACATTTCTCACATCCTAAATGAAGTGAAGGAAATGTTTTCAATGTGGTTTAATGCAAATTATTGAGAAGTAAGAACCCATGATAATTAATCAGCACCATATGAACTTGATCAGACAAAAAAGGACATTTGCTGACACAGTAAAAAATTATGCCTGATTCTGTCATTGCATCACTTTTCATTTGTAGCCTGTTTATGCAAAGATACCCGGACTTCTTGGTGCTGTTAAGTAGGGAGTTGTACTGCATGGTAAAGGTGAGGTAGAGGCTTCTGTTTTGGAGGAATAACAAGCAACCATAAAGTGTTTAACTTAAATCTGATTTAATAAAATCTGCTAAATTTATGAAAGACTAAATAACTCTTTTTTAAGGTAAATGTGCCTCACTGTATCTGAATTTCAAACAAATTGCCCCTGCATTAGGAATATTACTGTTATCTGTAATTTTAAATTTGAAAGCCACATCTTATTATGAATTATGTTTTTTATCTTGATCAATGTGTGATATAATATCATTATGTCTGTGCCAAATTTTAATCTGTCTTTACACGCTTTTTTTAATTGAATGCTTAAGTATAATTAAAATATTTTATATGAGCTTATCAAGGAAAGAGGATAATGTAATGAGCTGTAATAGTGGATTTAAACTAGTTCTAATTTATTTCACATGTTATGCCATGCCACTGAATGGCTTGTATCACAAACTCGTATATGGTTTTTGGGATTTGTGTTCTCTGTATGTCACTGAAGTTTGTACTGTCAGACTCTACCTGACAAACATTTTCTTCCCTGATTTCCAGAACAGAATATACAACTTCTGTGTAGCAGTTGTTCTTTCAGTACACTGACACTTGACTCCAGTACACTTGAGCTTTAAAACAGGAATGATGGAATAGAGAAATTATGATTATGATGAAATGAGGAAGTGGTTGATGGGTTGATAGGCAATGGGTGCAGAGATGGAGACAGCCAGGACCTCATAAACAACAAAACAGGGCAGGGAGGAGCCACCCAGAGTTATGCACATGAATAAGGATGTGGTTGTGAGAAGAGCATTTAGGGAAGGCTCTCATACTTTTTCTGGGATGGCCTGTGCTCTAAAGCATGGGGAACAAGCAAAAGGAATTAGAGGTTTGTTGTGCAGCTGCAGGGCTATGGTCTCATCATGATTATAGAGAAGTGGTGGGATAGCTCATATCACTGGAGTGCTGCAAACCATGGAAGCACAGGGCAAGATAGCAAGCCATTTCTGTAAGAGAGAAGAATATGAAGGGAGCTCTGCCTAGAGATGGGTGATGAACCAGCTGAGAGTTTATAGGTCAGGATTAGAGGTCCCACCAATGTCATGATATTGTGGGTGTCTGCTGTGGACTTCTTCATCAGGAAGAATTAGATGAAGCTTTCTTCCAGTTACAAGTTCTGGTTTTCATGGAGAACGTAAATCATCCTGGTATCTGCTGGTTGAGCAGTGCAGTAGGGCACAAGTAATCCAGGAGGTTTCTGTAGTACACTGATGACCAAAGGGAAAGTCTGGAGCAAGGACTCAGCAGAGAATGATCAGATCAAGGAACATTTAAATAAACTGGACATGTAAAACTTATTGACATGTGATGAGGTGTACCCATGAATACTAAATGAGCTGGTTTTGACTGATGGCATTGCAAAGCCAGTCAATAATCTTTGTAACATGGCACCCAGGGGATGTTCTTGAAGACTGGAAGAAAAATCATCACTACTATCTTCAAAAAGGGAAAGGGATCTTGGAAGCTTTAGGCCTGTCAGCGTTAGCTCCACCTCTGGGTATGTGATGGAACAAATAATTCTGGAAACTATTTCCAACATATGTGTAGAACAAGGGCGTGATTGTGGATAGTCAGCATGAAATTACAAAGGGCAAATCAAGCCTGACCAGCCTGATGGCCTTGTTTCATTAGTTGGCTAGCTTGATGGGTGAGAGAAGAATATCAGATGTTCTCTATCTTGTCTCTGCTAAGTTCAATACACTTTTCTAAAATACCCTGATAGCCAAACTAAGGAAGTACAGCCTAGGTAAGTAAGAAGTGAGGCAGATTGGAAACTGGCTGAATACCAGGCTCAGGGGATTGTGATCTGTGA